GAGTATTTTCCAGATAGGGTCTCGCAAACTTATTTGCAGGCAGAGGGCTGGATTTGAACCATGATCCTCCTGACCTCAATCTCCTGAAAAGCTAAGATTACAGGTGTAAGCCTCAGCACCAGCACTATAAGCCCTAAACATCATCTGTCTTCATTCCTGTTTCATTCTTCAAATCCAGGCTCCAATCGTTGTCTCCAGTCCAAGCAACCCCAAAACAGCTATTAGTTTTCACCCTTAAAAATAATCTTTTAGATTTATCCCTTCTTTCTAGAACTGACTCTGCTTAAGCCTAATTCTTAATTACTATTACAAGAAACTCTTACATTCTAACCTTGCCTCTAATCATGCCAGTCAACATGTTCACTTCTCAGCTGTAGTCCCTCACTGGCTCTCAGCTCCTATCACATCAATGCCAAATGCCTCAGTCTGGATTTCTAGGGCCCATTACACCCATCCTGCCCGAGTGACCCCCAACAAAGGTCCTATGAAATTGCTATGCTCTCCACATCCAAAGTACCAGTGTAAGTCCAACAAACCCAACCCACCCAAAGCCAATTAAAGTTATCACCTTTATCCTTGTTGACTCAACAGTTCTAGGTTTCAACATCTCTACTCAACTGCTTAACCTAAACATCTACAGCTCAGAACTTGAGGATCATAAATATGTAAGACCACTCTGCAGCAGGGCTATACCCTAAGAACTTTAAGGATCCCCAAATTCACTAATACCACCATAGTATAAATACTCACATTTGTAATCCTAGCTACTCAGGAACCAGAGATCAGGAGGATTGAAGTTTGAAGCCAGCCTCAGGCAAATAGTTCAAGACACACTATCTTGAAAAAAAAAAACAACACAAAAAAGGGCTGGCAGAATGGCGGAGTTCCTGCCTAGGAATCATGAGGCCTTAAGTTCAAACCCCAGTACTCCAAAAAAAAAAAAAATAATAATAATAATAATAATAATAATAATAATTTAAGTGAGGAAGAGAGGAAAACAACTGCTGCAAATCAGCCTAGGAAGAAATCTAGCAGTTACTTTGGGTGTAGGCAAAAATGTCAAAGACCTTCAGAAGGCATGAAAAAAAGGCAACAGTAATCAGTTAATTCTGATTTTGAAAGTTTCAGTCCTGTCTCCAATGTTCTCCAGTGCCATGAAAGTTAACCTTTGACTTCTATTACATCCCTTCTGACTACAGGTTATAAAGACCAAATACAAAATAAAGCACTTAAGTAGTAAGTTATTCCCACTCTGGGCTCCAATCTCCCTTCAAGATTTTATCAAACAGCTGGGAAATGGTGGCTCACACCTGTAATCCTAGCTACTCAGGAGGACCGAGGTTTGAAGCAAACCTGGCCAAATAGTTCTTCTGGAAACCCTATCTTGAAAAACCCCATCACAAAGAAGGGCTGGTGGAATGGCTCAAGCAGTATGAGTGCCTGCCTAGCACGTGAGGCCCTGAGTTCAAACCCCAGTGCCATCAAAAAGAGAAAAAAAAGGATTTTATTAAACAGGGCTGGCTGAGTGGCTCAAGTGGTAGAGAGCCTGCCTAACAAGTATGAGGCCCTGAGTTCAAAGTACCTCCAAAAGAAGATTTTATCAAAGACCTAAGATGTACAAACACAAAGGCTTTGTACACTGGAAGGAATTAGATGGTGTCAGCCAACTTAAAATTAAAGCACAAAATCAGGATTGCAAATTAATGACATCACTGTACATAAAGAAAATAACTAGCTGGGCACTGGTGACTCACACCTGTAATCCTAACTACTTAGGAGGCAGAGATCAGGAGGATCATGGTTCAAAGCCAACTTGGGCAAATAATTCAAGACCCCATCCCAAGAAAAACCCTTCACAAAAAAAGGCTGGTGGAGTGGCTCAAGATTTAAGCACTGAGTTCAAACCCCGGTACCGCAAAAAAAGAAAAAGACTAAATGGGGCTGGGGTATAAATGAGTAATAGAGTGCTTGCCCAGCATGCACCAGTCCCTGGGTACCATCCCTAGCATTAAAATAATAATTATTATTATTGAATTATTATTGGACAGCACAAAAAGATAAATTGAAAAGGCTGCTTCCTCATGACAGGAGGCAAACCATGTGCTTAAAGCTAGATTTAGAGGGCTAGCAGAGTGGCTTGCTCAAGTGATAGAATACCTATGTAGCAAGCTCGTTCGTACCCTTGAGTTGAAACCCTAATGCTGGAAAAAAAAAAAAAAAAAGTAGATATAAGCCAGGCATGGTGGTGTACACCTGTAATTGCAGCTACACAAGAGGCATAAGTAGGAGAATCAAGGTCTGACACTGCCCCTATCACACACACACGAGTGCAAAAAATATTCTCTAAAAAATAACTAAAGCAAAAAGCGTTGAAGGTGTGGTTCCAATGGCAGACTGCTTATCTAGCAAGCATGAAGCTCTGACTTCAAGCCCCAGTAGTGAAAGAAAAAATAAAAACAAATATACGAAGCAACAGAAAATATGACCTTAATTCAGGCAAAGTAGGACACAAATGAAATCCCAGCACTTAAGAGGCTGCAGTAGTTCAAGGCTAGCCTGATTACCCAGCAAGAACCTGTCTCAATTTTTTTTTGGTGGTACTATGGTTTGAACTCAGGGCTCACACTTACAAAGCAGGCGCTCTACTACTTGAGCCACTCTGCCAGCCCAGGAAATATGATCTTGATTTATGCAAATCTTTCTCTACTTCTAGATGGAGATTACAATCCTAACAACTACACTGTTACCTGCTTCCAAGAGAATCTTAATCTATCATATTACAGAATAAAAAGCATTTTCCAAAATTTCTAGCCCTAAACATAAGATCCATAGTACTTAATACCTATTCCACCAATGAGCTTAAATTGTGAACAATATGAATATATCAACACCATATGGCTATACAGAATTTTTTTAATTACACATTTCCCAAGCTATAGTGTTTAGCTAAACTCATACTCTGAAAGTGAATTAATTTATAAATTCTCAGTTTAAAAAAATCAAGGGCAAAATGAAAGCAATAAATTTCAACCACAAACTTGAATCAAAGACCTAAAAGAATAAATTAGAAACTTGCCTCTTCAAGCCCATAAAGACTCTGAGCAATTTTCTTCCTAAAAAAAAGAAAAATTCTACATTTATACAAGTTAGCTAACTACCATGTTAGACACACAACATACTATCTATAGGCTCCGAGATTTTCAATTTTTTTTTTTTTTTTAGTGGGGCTGGGGTTTGAACTCACGGCTTCATGTTTACAAATCAGGCACTCTACCAAATGAGCCACACCTCCAATCCATTTTGCTCTGATTATTTTGGAGACAGGGTCCCAAGAGCTATTTGCCTGGACTGGCCTTGAACTGCTATCCTCCCCTCTCAGTCTTCCAAGTAGCTAGGATTACAGTTCTGAGCCACCAGCGCCCAGTCTTCAATTGCTTTTAACACAACCAATACTCAGTTCACATCTACAGGATGAGAAACAGACAGGTTTACATTTCTATTTGTATGCCTCTAGTGAAACATCTACCTCCTTCCTCAGATTTAAATTTATGTATTAAAACAAATACTGTCTATGTACGATAAATTTCAACACAAACCCCAAAAAAAGATTTGTCTGAACTGCCAGCAGGTTTTCAAAACAACCTTTCCATCCTTAGATGTCTGGGACAATAAAATTCTTTAAAAATCTGCAACTGCCAAGCTAAGAAACCAGAGTATTAAAGCATATTTAAGATATGAATCAAAAGAAACAAGTGACACACCCACATTCCCCGTTACTTTAAAGATCAACAAGAATGAATAGCAAAATAAATGTTTAATCCACAACAATCATCACATACTGTAAAAAATTTTTCTTACAAAATCTACATAGTGGACTGGAGAAGTGGCTCAAGTGGTAAAGTGCCTGCTTTTGTAAGCACAAAGCCCTGAATTCAAACACTAGTCCCACCAAAAAAAGAAATCATATGTGTGAGATATATATATATATATATATATATATATATGTATGTATACACACACACACACACACACACACACACACACACAAACACACACAATTTCTGGGCATCTGCTGACACCCCACACCCCCCAAAAAATCCTCTTTGTTGACATTACCAATGACATTACCACATGATAATGTGGTGTTTGGACAGAAACAAAATTAGAATGAAGTATTTAAAGCTGAAAGGAATTTTTCAGAAATCAAATAGTTTTGGATTTCAGAAGTGATGAAACTAGGCTAAAAGAAGCAAACTGATATCATTTAGCTACCTGAAAGTCAGATTCTGCATGAGTTCTTAAAATAAAACAACTATCATTTATCACTCGATAACAGTATTACAGAGTACTAAAAGAGACTCAAATGAGATTTTCTCCATTTTGACTTATATACACACTCACACATGCACACTTTAAATTTTAAAACTGTAAAGGATTAAGAGCCTACCACAATGGTGGCAGTTATCAGGAGGAGCACAGGATGCTTAACTTCAGTAGTTCAAAAAAATTAACTTAACTTGAATTTTGACTGAGATTCAAGAACACTTTCTCATCTTAGCCTCTTTAAATCTGTGCCCAAAAGGCACTTCAACCAGCAGCAAGATTCACCCAACTACTAAAAAAAAACAAACCCATGCTTTATTCGAACAAGCCTCCAAGTAACAAATTGGTTCTGCACTCATAACACCAGCAGGTCAGATTGCTTTTTTTTTTTTAAAGCTAATCAAATGTACACCCACATCCTAAAAAATTAAATATGAACTCAATCAAATGTCCTTAAAAGTTTACTCAATGCAGTTATTTGGGAAAAGGTAAAAAGAACCAAACTCATACAACAGAGCTAAATCTAAAAATTGAAGTAAAATTTACCCCAAAAAACTTATCATGAGCTTTCAGCTATGAACTGATGAGCAACAAAAAGTTAGTGTTAAGTTTCCCTGTAAGCGGCCTGTATATACACATTCACGTATGTATTTTAAGTTGTACCAAAAGCTGCTTACAAATGGCAATTCCTGTGAAGTAGATGATGATGAAGTTCCAGGTAACTCTAGCATGTTTCCTAATGTACTGGTACTGGAGTCTGGATCATCCTGAAAAGATAAATTCATTGAGTTAAATTGCTCTTCTACCGTAACGTTTGTATCTCCTAGTGAAAGGGGGTCTGGGAGAAGGGCTGCTTTGTCATTGGTGATGTCCACTTCATTTCTTTGCTTATTTTTCTGTGTTTCAGTTTCAGGAGCTAATGGCAAGAATGGCGATTTGACTGCACCATGTCTACTCTCTGGTGTGCTGTCTTGTTCACTTCCCATGGACACTTCTACACCATTCTGTGATTTAGGCTCATAATCGCAGGTGGCATTGGTCTGAGTTTCCTCAAAGATCTCCTCTATACTCTCATCCTCTGTGACTGGCTGTTCTGGGTCCATTTCAGAATCTACATCTGCATCGTCCACACAAGTAAAATTCTCAAAGTGCAGAAAGCCATTCTTGATCGTCTTTGTTACTTTTAACTGGAGTTCAGGGGAGTTATTACAAGAGGGCTCCTGTTTCATAGCAAGTGCAGTTGGACCACCAGGACTCAAGGAAGTGCATACAATTGGCGACTGAGCTCTTGAATCACTTTTTGCAGGGTCTTGAAAGGATTCTGATCCATCAGCAGACCCATTTAAATACTCTACATTGATCATGGAGGCCAAATCCTGTAGTCTCCGCAGTGGAATGTAACAAGATGGAGAATCTTGTCCATAAGCATTTTGGGATGTTCCACTGGCAGTCGATAACTGCATAGTACACCCGTTAAGTGGCTCAGAAAAATTGGATTGACCATTACCGAAAGGGCTGTCCTTGTCTTCAGGGGCATCTAAATTCACTGGATTGGAAAAGGGCAGCAGACAATTTCTTCTAGATAGTTCACAGGTCTGATCCATCCTGGGCCAGCATCAACCTGGAATCCAAAAACACAGCAATTAATCTGAGTTCACAAACCATCTGACTCTTCTCTTCAAAATGGCAGCCACTTCCCAAAGGCCTAGTGGCCTCTTTGCTTTTCTGCTGCACTTCCAAGGGCGGAAAAAGTTCTCCCAGCTGACGATGGAAAAATGGCTCAGTGAGCCTCCGAAAACTCCATCTTCCCGGAGCTGGGCAAAATCCTCCCACATGGAAAACAGCCCCGACCCTTTTTTCCTGCACTGCAGGCTGGTAGACACTTGGGCTCAACTCAAAATTAAAATCCCTTTGGCAGTCAAAAAATTCTCAAATCTAGCAGAAATCCTAGTCCTCTTCCTCGTCCGGGGTCCAGCGGCCAAATCCCCTGAATGAGAGGGGGGTGCGGGGCTGGGGGGGGGGCTTTTGGACGTTGCACAAAAAGGCCCCCCTCCTCCTCCTCGGTGGCTCGCCCGGGCGCAGCGGTCACAATAGCGCTGCGCCCTGCGCCCGGCCGGGCCAGGGCCGTGCAGCGACCGTGCGCAAAGGCCGCGAGCAAGGTGGCCGAGGCTGGGGCTGCCCCGAACTCGCCCTCCAGACTGCGGGGCTGCGGGGTCCGCGGTGGCAATGCCCAGGGACCGGGACTCGGCAACCAGAGCCACTCGGGTGGCCGGTGCAGCCGAGTCAGGACAGCAGCAGCTGCTGCTTACAGCTTGACAAACATGGCTGCTGCCGACGCCGACGCCGCCTGCCCCGGCCGCGCTCCTTCCCGCAGCTCCTCCCGGCAGTGCTGATCGCACTCACCAATTTTCAGCTAGCAAGCCAAGTTTGCGGGGGGTGGGGAGGGAAGGTGGCCGCCCCCGCACACACCCTCCACCCCACACACACCACCGCCACCACCACCACCAGCCGGCTACCTAAGGGAGGCGGAGGCCCAGGCGCGCACGAGCGGCCAGGCCGGCGGCACACGGGCCGCGCTGGGAGGAAGTTCGCGGCAGCCCGGCCAGCTAGGCCTGAGCCCGGCTGGTAGTGATGGAGGAGGGGGAGGGGGCCCGCAGCTACGGCGCCGCCCGCCGCCAACCCCGCGTTGCACCCGGCCCTCCCGCGAGTCCCTCACCTCACGGCCACCACCATCTTCCCGGCCCGGCCACCTCCTCCCCCTCCCTCCTGGAGCCCACCCCAAGCGCACTAGTTACCGTGCCCCGCGCCCCCTCCCGGGCCAGCTGGGGGGAGGGGGTGACCCTCATTACACTGGGGCGCAAGCGGAGCGGTGGGGAGAGAGAGGAGCCACTCGCCGCACCCCCCTCCCCCCCGCGTCTCTCTTCAGGGGAGAAGGCAGCGAGCACGACCTGCCCCGGCCTATTCCTCCGCCGCCGCCGCCTCCTCCACCTCCTCACACCCCCACGGCGCGCGCCCCCGCGGCGGCGCGTGCGACCGAGCGCCCCGCGCTGGCCCGCGTGCGGCTTGAGCCCCGGAGTGCGCGCGCCGGCGGCCCCTGCCCCCCACCCTTCCCGCACGCGCGCGCGCGCGCTCGCGCTCCCACGCCTCACTCTTCGGGGTTCAGGGCGGGTGAAGTCGGGCGCTCCAAAAGCGCTGCCCAATCAGCGAAGCTGCCGCTGCTGCCCCCCCCTCCCCCACTGCGCGCCCGATCACGGCCCAGGCCTACGGGCCGACTGGGCTGCCCGGGAGGGGCCTAAGGCAGGCTCCCCCGGGGCCTGGCGCGCCTCCGGGGAGTGTCGGGGTGTGCGGGCGTCGTGGGTGGCACTCCGATCCCCTCACCTACCTCGGGGCGCCACGCCAGCCCCGGGCTGTACACAGCCACTGCACCCTACCCGTCTTGAACCCCCAACCCCAGCGGCACCTGGCCCGGCTGAGGCCTGTCGGACCGCGCCGCCGGCCCCGCTCGGGCCCGCGTCAGTCCCGGCCTCCATCTTAGGTTACAGCCCGGGCTCCCCATCCACTGGGCACCTGCCCTCAGCCCGCTCCTTTCGGCCCGAGGCCAAGGCCACCCCCCTCCTACTGCAGGGCTCACCTGGGGGGGCCTGGAATGGGGGTCTTCGAGGCCTCAGGCCCCGAACAAGCGCGGCTGCAGGTGAACCCCCTGCCCGGCCGCACCCCAAACCCACACCACCACCACCACCACAGACCAAGCTGAACAGGAAACAAAATGGAGGCAGCAGCACGGGTCTGCCTCCCCGAGCCAAGCCCGTGCAGCCCCAGGGCTCCCTCCTGCCGCAGGCTCGACGCCCAAGAGGCAGGGGGCTGGCTCCTTGCAGGGCGCGGCGGGCAGCCGCCTCAGGGCAGCGCCGACGGGCCGGGAACTCGGCCCTGCGGTCCCCACGGCCCCTCACCCACCACCCCTGCCCTTCCCCCTCCCCCCATCCCCTTCCTCCCCCTGCCCGGCCGTGCGGGGTGAGCGGCTCCGGGGAGCCGGGTCGGGTTACCCGCCCGGGCACTGCCCGCCCGGCCGTGGCCTGGGCGGAGGGATGAGGCCGTGCGACCCCAGCGCTGAGCCCACCCCCCGCACCCTGGGCCGGGCTGCAGCCTGACAGCACGCCCGCACCTCGGCCTGCCGCCGTGCGGCCCCCCGCCGAAGGAGGCCAGAGTCCCCAGTCCGGACACCGGCGGGACGAAGCTCCCTCGCACCCTCGGGCCCAGGGGTCCTCGCTGCCTCGGGCGGGGCGGGGGGGCGCTGGGGGAGGGGACCACTAATCCCTGCCTGCACCGCCTCCCGCGCTTAGCGTGGGTCTGGGCCTGGCACGGGGGCTCGGGCCGCGGGCGCTGGCGGGTGTAGGGTAGGTGCGGGGCCGGGAGGGGCCGCGCCTCGTACGGTGGACGCTGCAGTTCCCCGCACCCAGGCAGATGGCCCTCTCGTGCCACCGCAGCCCAGCTCCCCGGGGAGCGCGCGCCTCGCCCCTGCGGGCCGGGCACCGGGACCCCGGCGGAACTGCACCCCGAGGGCAGGTCGCCTGGCTAGCCGGGCCAAGCCTGCAGGCGCATCACCCCGGCCAGGGACGCTCTGCACCCCGGCACCCGGGACCTCGCGGCCTGCAGTCCTCACCGAGGCCCCGCAGCACCGATCTAGTGTGGCTGTGGCGCGTGCGTTTCTCAAAGACAGCGGAAGGGCAGGTCGGGGAACCCAAGCCGGGCCTGATCCCTCGACTTCAGCCTCTCCGCCCCCCGCCGCCCCCCCCTCCCCGCCACCCCACAGGCTCTAATCCCCAGGCCGGGCCTCGTTGCCTCCTGGGCTTGCTCCCCAGCAAGAAGCTCACCTCAGGAGCGACTTGGTCTCTAGAGCGCTAAGCGCATCCTCGCTGTTCAGAACAAGCCACAATGGACCGCCATAAAATTTCCGCCTCCTCCAGAAAGCCTTCTCTGATTAGATTTGGAGTTCATTTCAAAGCCGAGGGCGCCGCCCTCGAGGGCCACGTGACTACCATTCCTCCTGGGGCTTAGTAAATGTGCATAGTTATTGCCCCAGTAGAGTGCTTACCGGGGGCCCACTGTTAACGATAGCCCACCAGGGAGAAAGGCCACTTTTGGCGTTTCCTGCACCCTATCAAGTGCTAGGCTAGCTGAACTCCCATCATTCCCGACCTTCGCCTGGTAACGGATGCCCAGCAAGCAGGCAATTCTGGATGCCAGGGCCAGTTGGTGCTGTCCTAGACCCACAATGCAATAATGGAGGCTCACAAGTAAACAGGCCTTTAGCGCACCCTGAATAAGTGCCAAGACTGCCAGTAGGCCTCGTTGGAGGGAAAATGCTCCCTGGAATCGAGTGATGAGATTGGTGTGACCTCAGGGAGGGCTCCTTCTGTTGGAGACTGGGATTCTCTGAAATTTCCCAGGTGCAAAGTTGACCGGCAGTTTTCTCTGTGCTAGAAGCAGCCAGAGAAAAGCTGGGTGTACACCTCAGGGCCCTGTCCCAAGAGACCAGCCCTCCTGCTAAATCCCATCTGGCAATTCAGTGTAGAAGTTGTCTCTTTCTTCATGCCTAATAATTTCCCCCAATCTTTGCTGATTGACAATTGCTCCCTCTGCCAATCACCACCAATTCATCAAGGTTCCTCCCAGTGCTTGGTCACTCTGAGGGCCTGGGAGCTGCCACTGTATAGTTTTGAACAAGTTCCATTCCAGCCCATGGCACAGTATAGCTGTGGGCATCCTGCACAGTACAGTACTAGCAATCCACACTTACACTATGCTACAGACAGAGCACTTGACAAATGCTGGAATGTAATTCATTGCTTCCTTCAGCAACCATTTCCTGCAGTCTAGGCAGTATACTGGGTGCCAAGGAGCAAAAGGACAAGGCGCTTGTGCCAGGGAAGCCCTGGCCTGGGAAAAGAGTTAAATAAAGGTGCTAAGGTGTGAAGAAGGGTCAGCTGTTCTCTGCACATCCTTGCCCTGCAAGAACCTTTCTCCCTGACCTTCTGGAAAAGGAATAGAGGCCAAAGGGGGATTGTCAACTGCAGATGACCTGGTTACGGACAGGTCTGGGAGACAGGATGAGCCCCAGTGTCCCGGGTGACACCTGAGGGCCCTCCCTGCCTTTTACAGTGGAACTTCATTACAAAATCTTCAACTACTGGAGTCCATTCACCAGGCCCTCACTGAACATCTCACATCTCACATGTGCTACAGCTGAGTTAAGATCATCCACAGGGCCACATATTCTCACAAGGACACTGACTCCATGGAAAAGCAGTGGGGGACGAAGGGATAGAGCTGTGTCCCTGTAGGGTGGGACCTGAGGTGTAGACTCAGCTCTTCTCTGGCTGGTCATCTCAACTCTGGGACCTTTTCTGAGCCTGTACCTCCCACTTCAGACAGAGATAAGGATCAATAAAAGCTTGCTGAGTCTGTAATGTGCATGGGACATTGTGCTAGGCACTTGATACACATTCATTCTTTCAATGTTTCACTAGCCTGTGAAGAATTAAGGTCTACGAGGTCAAGGCCTTCATATAAGAAGGTCTCAGAGCCTTGACTCTCACCAGGAGAAAGGAGCCTCCCAAACCTTGCTCTTCCCCGTCCCCCACAATTGAGACTGGGGTTTGAACCCAGGGCTTTGTGCTTGCAAAGCAGGCATTCTATTACTTGATCCACACTTTCAGTCCATTTTGCTCTGGTTATTTTGGAGATGGAGGTCTTGTGAACTATTTACCCAGGCTGGCCTCAATCCTCAATCCTCCTGATCTCAGCCTCCCAAGTAGCTGGCTCCATCCCTTGCTCTTAACCTGGACAGCCTGCAAACTATGAAAAGTCCAGCATCATGCCTGGCACACAGGTACTCAGGAATGTGTAATGCCAGGCAAGGTGAAATTGCTTTAGCCTCAGTTTCCTCA